ATAATGTTAACTTTAGTAAATGAATTATAATTATTATATAGTATAGTTTTAAATATTTTGTAATATGAAGTGGTAGATATTGTTGTAACGTAAATCATATTGTTTATTTTGATTAAACATGTAATAATATTATTGGTATACTAAATTATAATTTTAACAATTAAAAAGTGACATTAACAGCATATAAACAGTGTGATGTGCCTCAGTTTTGTAAGGCTTTTATTATGTTACTCGACAGATGTAAAAATTGCGAAAGTCGGGACAACGACCGCTATTGACATATCAAATAGTACTAACTGTAATACAGACAGAGATTGGAAAACCGTCAAAGTAGAAAAAATATTATTCGTGGCTTAATAGAAACTGCCTCCGTGGCCGAACGGTTACCATGCCGGACTGCCACGCAGAGGTCCCAGGTTCGATTCCCGGGCCGGGCGAAATATTTGTATGACCTACATTTATTTCTCTCGTGAGTTTGGGTGTAATTTGTGGTTGTCTATGTGTGTGTCCAGGGCACCCGCGATACAGGGTTTCCCCAGTGCGGGGCTATGTTGAATGTGTGGGTTATTATAATAGAAAAGGAGCGGCTTGTGTAATACCTGAAGGCGTCGGGGGTCATGAGGTTGAGCGGCGCGGGCGGCGAATCGGCCCGGGCCATGAGGCTGCCGGGCTGCGTCTGGCTGCGCAGCAGCAGGCTCTTCAGCTGCGCGCTCTGCTGCTGCAAGATGCTAGACTGCAGCGCCATGTCGCCGCCCCCGCCCCCGCTGCCCTCGCACCCCGCGTCCTCGAGGTTCAGTTCGGACAGATCTGTAAATGTTAATGTAATAATTGATGTAATAATTTAATTTTATTTCATTAACTGCCTTCGAGGCCGAAACGTTACCATGCCGGACTGCCACGCAGAGGTCGCAGGTCGAGTCCCGGGCCAGGAGAAAATATTTATATGGCCTAAATTTATTTCTCTCGTGAGTTGGTGGTTGTCTAAGTGTGTGTCCATGGCACCCGCGATATAGGGGAAACCCTGGAAAACCTAATGCATATCCCCTATGTTGAGTGTGTGCGTTAATATAGAGTATAATTTAAATTTACCCACCGAATGGCGATGGTGATTGTCATTTGAACGTGTTCACGTATTGGTATTTAATAGTGTGAGTTACGAATTTAGACCTCTGACATTGCCGTGCCCTTGCAGGACGTCACGTTTGAGCTTTCGAGTAACCACCAACTAATGTTCATCTTTGGACTCGATTTTATAGTAGCGACCGGTTGAAAATTTATGCCCATCTAAATATACGTCATAAAATAATACAAGTTTCATTCAAAAAACTTTGAAATACGTCGGAGAAAAAAATATGAATTTTTAAAAATACGTAAAAACATATGTTTATGTGACGTGTGTAGGTGAAGTCATCGTAAATATTTGTTTTTGAATGTAACACGACTTACCTACATTTTGACATTTTATTTAAAGCCTCGTTTACACTTGCCATGATTTCTTCAACGATTAACTTCAAATTGAGATAATTATGAACGAAGGTTACAAAAAACTGTGGCAATGTTCTTATATACGTAAGTCTTCCTTAACTTGAGCTTGACTCTCAACTTCAAAGTTGTTAGAAAATTCAAGAAGAAATTGGCTCAACATTGGAGACTTCAAATTAAGTGTCAAAATCGGAGTTGTGTTACGTTCAAAAACAAATGCTAAACAACGCATTCAATTTCTTTATTATAATATCAAATGACAGGATGAACAAGTCGTGCGCCTGATGGAAAGCTACACGGTCTGTCTATAACAGTTGCTGTGTCACTCAGGCCTTTAAACCGCAAAGACCTGACGGGCACTGCCACTGCGCCCGTCGCCCTGAAACATAAGTTGACAAGTCCCATGTGCCTGTAGTTTCACTAGCACCCTTACCCTTTAAACCGGAACGCAGTAATGCTGACATTACTGCTTGGCGGCAGAAATAGATCAGATGGCAGTACTACCCTGGCCGAACTCTTTCACAAGGAGTTCTACTGCTTTCTTTTTTGTAACCATATAACATATTCTGTATACGTAGTGAGTTTCTGTAATTGGCTTCTGTAATGTCTATAACACTTTTTTAAGATGAGTATAAAAATGCTGCAGTAACTTCTTTGATAAAATAAAATAAACAAAGGAATTTTACACCGGTGTTAATGGTTTTGCAGCTTCGCCTCTACTAAACTTCATAGTTTAGCCCACCGGCGCAAAGTTGGTCGGTTTTTTTACAGAATATATTTCAGTGAGTGTGCCCATGGGCTCCATCAGCTCATCCCGCACGCCCCTTTTAACCAACGGACATCCAGACGACGGGATATCATCCTTACTTGGTCGATATTACTTTCAAGCGTACTAAGCGCTTTTTAAGCGCTAGGAATGGAATTCCCTGCCTGTATTTCCGAATTCATACAATTCCGGTATCTTTAAGGTACGACTGAATAGGCACCTTCTGGGCAAGCTCGTTTCATCATAGATCCTATCTTTGCTCCATAGTTAGGTAGTGGTCAAGAGTAAGTCCATTTAATTAAAAAAAATAGTAGTTTGTGACTGTTACATAATGAAAGGCATTAAACTACGAGTGTGGGTTTCTAAGTAACTCGCCTGTCGGCTCGTTTCGTAAAAACATCTCACGAGTGTTTTAATGCCTAATTATGTACAGTTACATACACTGCTTTACCAACACACATGTTACGACTAGCGAAATGGCGGGTAATAAAAACTTTTCAGAGATGTTCGAAATTTGAATGTAATAATAACATCGAATTCGATGTTATTTTAAAGCAATAATAACATTTTCACAGATAAGAAATTTGTTCTAACACAACAGTTTACCTTTATGCTGGTCGTAATTTGCGGTGTTTGAACACATTATAGAAAGTTTACGATAAGCGTGTAGATAAAATAAACAAATCCGAGCGACCGCTAAGAGTGGCCAGACTCACCATGCAGCAGGTCGCGGTGCAGGTCGTGCGCCTTGGGGGGGCAGTAGACGAGCTCGCCCTCCTGCAGCCCCTTGGGCTGCACGATGTACAGGCGCAGGCGCGCGGCGGCGGGCGGCGGCGCGGGGGACGCGCACGGCGACGCCGCGGGCGACGCGCCGCCCTCCGAGCCGTTGCGCAGGAACGCGGCCTCGCACAGCGCGCCGCACGTGGCCGCCTCCTCCTCTGCGGACAGCACTGGCTCAGTCGCCTGCGTCGGCTGCCGGGCACGGCCTCCCGAGCGCCATTTACGGACGTTGCGATTGACGTAAAAACCATCGAGTATATGGCCAGAAATAGAGACGAAATAAGGGCCGTATATTCCTGGTAACAATTAGCGATACAGCTCTTATAAATATCGACTCTCGTTTGCAGGCCAACTACTGACCTGTGTGTACGTCTCCGTATTTTCCAGAAGATATTCTGTATATATTGTAATAAAGATAATATCTCTAACAATGCCGTGCTGTTCTATTCGGTGGTGTGGGAAAAACAACAAAACATCTAATTACAAAACAAACGGAATCACATTTCATCGGTAATTAAATATTAAATATGTAATTTTGCAATTTTCGTCCATTATAGCAAAGCTCAAGTTAACTGGTCATTGAAAGTGAAACAGTTGACGACACCCGTCAATTGTTTCGAACTCGGGCTAGCCAATCAGAGCGCAGTTGTCACAGTAATGATATGGCAGAATACTTTTCAAACAAATTAAATGACATTTCGTCTCTATTTCTAGTTATTTACTCGATGTAGAAAACAAACATAATATGACACCTGTACAGTTCGACTGCTTCAGCGTACGACCTAGTACGGGACAAGGTACTCACCTAATGGCGATGACAATCGCTTCAAAAATCTACAATATACCAGAGATTTCGAAATGTTCAAAAACCTAGTAAGGCACACTTGGTCTGGTTCGTGACCAGTAAATGTACCCAATTCTGTTCAACTTTAAACATTATGTATTTAACAATAAAACGCAGGACCGTAACATACACTTAAACTGTCACAAAAAATGACTTCATCATCAGGCAACATAGTAACATAATTAACTAATTAACAGTAAGAGCTTCGTCGACAACCAACACACATAGCACACTAAGAAAAATCTATCATAATGTATTAGTAATAACAATTGTAAATATACTCAGTTATCCACTACCATCTGATTTTAACCTGCTACTCCTCTCAATGTGGCCAAGGCCCCCTTAGCCGTCAGTAGATCGGCCTTGTGAGTCTGCTTGGCCGGCAGTGAAAATACCATTCCAGTACACATTGAACGACATGTACTTCCTAACCTCCGTCCAACCTTCCGTTTATCACCTTAGGTGTCCTTCCCATTCATATCTTGCATAAAATATTTCTCCGTCTATATATTTATGGTTACGTGCACTTGCTAGATTTTAAAGTTATTAAATTGGCAATTAGTGGAAAATTAACTGACACGGAAAATTTTAGTCGTATCTTATTCATTTTATTAGTCCAACCAAATCAATTTTATTCTAAAATGTCCAATGCAATTACTTAACTAAATACCTAGCAAATACGTTTATAAATTATTAAAACAAATATTGAACGCTTAGAAAGTTCCTTCGATCCGGTTGGATTCGAACCAACCTTTGTTAAATTTTGATGTATATAGGTGGATGGAACCTAGGAGCACCAATAAAACTGTGAAAAATTAGTATAGTAGTCGAATTAATTATTCTTCTACGCAGACGAAGTCGCGGGCACCAGCTCGTAAGGTAGGAAACAAAATGTATAAATATGACCACTCACCGGCATCAATAATACAGAAACTCAGTACGGGGTAAGGCAATAGAAACTCGGCGATGTTTTTGCAGTACGCCATGGTGTCGTCCTTGTCTCGCGCCATGTTCAGTACGTACAGGCTTCTCGCTCTAAAGTCCGAGACCAGCAAATAGCTCGCGCTTGTGTCCAACATGGCTTTGAGACCTAGAGTCGTGGACTCGGCGCCAATGCTCGGCGTAAACGTGATGGTCTGGAGACAGTTCCAGGATTTGCACGACCAGATTTTGATAACTGTGTTGTTCTCCGCGCCGGTTACCGCGAATTTCCAAAATTGAACGCTGAAAATGCAAAATGAATAAATAAGTGGTTAAAACTTTAACCACGTAAAACATTTTTTCATCACACTTGCACGTTACAAGTTAATTATTATTATTAATTTCATAATAATAATAAACTTAATAAAGAAAAACAATTCATTACAAGGTGCATGAGAACAAAAACATTAGTTGTACAAGAAGATAACAAATGCCATTTAAAAACGATCTCCTAACTCCTAAACTAGGATATTATCCATATCTTAGGAGTTAGTGATTTCTCCAACTACATTGGATGTCAGTTATTGTATGCACAGGCATACATTTCAATTTCCTTGTAAATAAGAATATGTGTGTGTGTGTGTGTGCGTACGCGTGAGCGTGCGTGCGTGCATGCGGGCGTGTGTGCGTACATGCGTACATGTGCATGTGTGTGCATGCAAATATTTGTGTGTGAGTGAAAATAGGATGTGGATTTTTTTCAAATTAACAGATTTTCAGTGTCATGACAATTTACAGTTAAAAGTGTGTCTTGGAGAACTTTTGTAATTGCATACTTCGACAGTGTATGACTGCGAGTTAAATCATGTACCCTGTTATATAATTTACAGCAATTGCTTCCGAGGCCCCAATCGCCCCTTGGGATTCCTCAGCGACCACTGGCGGTGGAAACTATGATCCAAAGCGTACTCAACCGCGATCCGTAGTGCATATTAAGAATGTTTGTGTACTTACTCGGTATTGTAGTTCTTGTGGTTGTCGAGGAAGAAGAGGCAGGAGAGTGGCTTGCCACCATGCGGTTGCCATTTATGCAGGCACCGCGGGCTGCCTTCGCTCGCCATGTATACCTGAGAACGAAATTTATAATTATTTAATGAAAATTTTATACAAAGTGGAATGAGCTTGTAGTATGTTGTGCGGACGGCAGCATTTCATGACGTGTGTGGCAACGTGTGTTCGGGGTTTGGACTGTCCCGTTCAAACCCACTAAACGAACTTACATGTAAGATAAGCATAGTGCAAGATACTTTATTATTTGAGTCTAATTTTTGTTATATTTGTCTGTATTAATTTAATTTCATTTGTATGTAATTTAATTTATTTTATCTGAATTTATTTAATTGCTTATGTCAGTATTTTGTTAATGTAATGCAGCCTTTCCCAAAGTGGGCGATAACGCCCTCTTGTGGGCGCTGTAGGCCTAAAGGATAAGATACCCAGAAAAAAATGGGGGCGTTGTGTTATAAAATAAAATATTTCGGTGTAGAGGCTTAGGGGGAGATTTGTTATTTCATGTAGGAAGACTCTTAGAGTCGTATTCCAGAACTGTACTCAATGCTTAAGTTAGGATTTGAGCTGCGCATTGAGTAGAGTTTTAGAATACGACCCTTAGACACCGACTGAGCTCTCGACTCTCGACTACAACTTGTGAACATCAACTAATATTAATTAAGAGATTGCTCAAACTAACTCGGTTCTATATTTCTCTCCGTGTAGTTCATATATCTGTCCTGTTTTATTGGATAAATAAAATAAATATCATGTCAATCGGTCGCTCCGTTTCGAAATGAAAGTAGACACAAACAAACAAATAAAAAGGCAAGAGACACAGTTTCGCATTTTAATAGTTATTAGTGTTCCTAGATTTGGAATATTCGTAGATCATATATCGCGGGCATGTTTTAACAATGGGACCTGTAGAGGGCCCGAAACGTCGGTTTGTTTGAAAAAACAAATATATGCGATTTAAATCCGGAAAAATAGTTTCATTTCCTATGTTTTAACAAGTTTTGTTAAATAACCCGATTTGTGCATTCCTGTATCAATCGGCTGGTTCATAGAATACTTGTTCTTACTTGTTGAGTACGATTGAGCGTCGAATGAGATAAACGAGGTTATGCATGCTTGTCTTATTCCTGTCGGTGCGTGCTGCTTATGCAATCCTATATAAACAACGTAATATTTATTTTATTTTCATTTGCGGTTTCGCGCGTAATAGATAAGCAGTATTTAAGTTCAACACTTACTTACATATTTCTCAAAACAATATCGGAAGTAAAAAAGAAGAGACGGCAATACTGTGCGGAATATATTAAATTCGGATTCATTGAAAATCCCACAAACCTATCTTCGCCTTTGTGCCTTCTATGTCTAAAAACATTTTCGAATAAAGCAATGAAGCCTTCAAGACTGCAAGATCATTTGAATAAAATGCATCCAGATAAGAAAGACAAGAATGCAGCACATTTTCAAGACCTAGAGAAGAAGCATAATACTCAGCCAAGAAGCTGCTAAGCAAGGTGACGACGGACTTCGAGATTCGTACAATATCTCTTTGTTAATTGCTCAAAAAGGCAAACCACACAACATCGGCGAAGAGTTAATTTTGTCAGAAATAAAGGAAGTAATAACTACTGTGCTTCATAAACCAGCCGCAGATATTATCCGAAAAATCCCTTTGAGTAATAATTGTGTGCAAAGACGAATTGATGAAATGGCTGAACACATTGAAGAATCATTGTGCAATCATCTGAGGACTAGTCAATTCTCAATTCAGCTCGATAAGTCCACTTGACCAACTCATGAAGCATTGTTGCTGTCCTACGTGAGGTTTATTAAAGATGAGAAAATATGTGAACAACTATTGTTGGCTAGAAATTTAGAGGCCGATACAAAAGGCGAAACCATATTCAATACATTGGACAAGTTTTGTGATGAGAAAGAGATTCCCTTGAAAAATATTATATCAGTTGGTACGGATGGCGCTCCGGCTATGACAGGGTGCCACAAAGGCTTCATAGCGTACTTAAAAAATAAAATTTCAGATGTCCTTGCTGTACATTGCGTTGCTAGAAATTTAAGTGAACGACTATTTCAATCACTGCAATATGTCATTAAAGCAGTCAATAAAATCCGTAACAGCCCTTTGAACGATAGATTATTTCATCAGCTTTGTGTTACTAATGACGAATATTGCAACCGTTTATTTATTTCATAATGAAGTTCGTTGTTTGACTCTGTGATAGAGTTCTTGGAAACTAAAATACAGAATTGCGCAACAAGCTCATTACACCAAAGAATGATATAGCTTACATGACAGATCTGTATAAATTGTTCAACGACATGAATCTCCAACTGCAAGGTGATGAACTAAATTTAATTAAAACAAAAAATGTCGTTGCTGCTTTCGCAGCCAAACTGTTTCTACACAAAAAGAATATGGGCAGACGTGAGCTTCACAATTTTCCGAATTTATCAGTACCCTGCAGTAACGACGACTTGTTTGCCTACTGCCAACGTTTGGAAAACATCCACATTGACTTCACCGAATGATACCAGGGCATTTGAACTTGGAAATACCAGACTGGGTGTTGGATCCGTTTCCAAATGTCAATACAGCAATATCACCTCAGCTGGAAGAAGATAAGTTCTTCTTAGAATTGACAACGAACGAAGAAATAAAAATCAAGTTCAAAAATGGCTACCAAGAATTTTGACTACAAAAACCGATCCCGTAATTGTACCCTGAATTGTGGTCAATCGTTCAACGATTCTTGATAGCATTCCCATCGTCATATATGTGTGAACATGGTTTTAGTGCTGTGACAATGCTGCTTACTAAAAAGAGAAATCGTTTGCATGTTACCGAACATGGTGACTTGATATCAACAAACCTGATATTAACAAACTTATTAAATAGCACCAGATTCATCCTTCATATTAGTTTTTATATTAGAATCGATTATGTTTGTTTTATTTTGAATAAAAGATACTCTGTCTGTATACTATAAAATTGCGTTTCAATAATCATTCTCATTGGCAGGTGTAGCCCGTAAGAGTTAACTTCAGACCTGAGCGCCGTTGTGTACTACCTACTGCGCTTAGGTTACAAGTTAACTCTTGCGGGTTATAGTAAAGTCTCGTTTAGAATGAATGTTTAATCTCCGCTAATATAGCTCACAATAATTAATTTAATTTGAAGAAGCTAAAAAATTATTTATTCTCAAAGTGGGCAGTAGACAAAATAAATTTGGGAACCGCTGATGTAATGTATGTGTGCGCTTATTCATTTTATAATTTTGTATGAGAATGTAATATTACGAAAAAAATGTTTTGAATATGAATAAGCGCCATCTAATTGATTTGATATCACCAGAAATTAGAGCAGGAGATATTAAAACGTGTAGGATGTGTGCGAGACGTGTGGGATAGTGGTCGGGAGGCACCTGGAAGAACATGACGTATCCGTCGGCGGAGGCGGTGGCGAGCGCGGTGCCGTCGGGCGAGAAGGCGGCGTCGACGACGGGGGCCGCGTGCTCGGCGGCGGCCAGGGCCAGCCCCCCGCCCGCGCCCCCCGCCTGCCCCGCCAGCAGCGCGCTGGCCGCGCCGCGCCACTCGCCGCCGCTGGCGCGGGACGCCACGGCGCGGATGTTCCACATGCGAGCTGCAATCGCAATTCTCATCACACTTGCTCGTAAACAGTGTCATAACATGCAGGCTTTTTCATTACATTATCGCCCTGTGGATTTTTTACGACGAGATCAAGCAAAAAGTTGTTATGCTCGAAAAATATGAACGTATATTTGGCATAAATTTGAAGTATACAAAAAACTAAACATTTGCAATTTAACTATATTTTACTAAATTTATTTCGTGAATTCAAACCCGTTATTTGCAAGATCCGTAAATGTTGTGTTGTGAAGCGATATTTATTCATACAAGAAATAAATTACCGTCGAATCTATTTCCTTGCAAATATGATAAAAAACCTTGCATATAGCACGGGCGGTAAAAATTACAAATCTCAAGTCATAATGGCCCGAAACCGAAGGCTGAGGACAGATACGTAAATCATGTTTTTACTACTTAAGCCGGGCACTCACTGGTGAGCTGTAATCGTAACAGATCGAAAATCATAGTGTGTACGCACCAACGCGTGAGACGATAACCAGGTACTCATTCTAGCGAGTGAAGACTGTACACATTAGAACCACTTTAGTAGCAGTAGAGCTCCTTGAAAAAATCGTGCGCCTAATGGTAAGCGACACGCCTGTCCTTAACAGTTGGACACTGCCTCTACGCCTGACACCCTGCGACATAAGTTGACAAGTCCCATGTGTCTGTTGTAGATGTAATTTCACAAGCACCCTAACCATTCGAACCGGAACGCAAGTCTCATTACTGCTTGGCGGCAGAAATAGTTAAGGTGACAGTACTTCCCTGGACGAACTCTTTCACAAGGTCTACTGTTACTAATGTAGTATATGTAGTGATCGAATGGGACATCTCACCGATATTACTATGCGTAGTGAGCAGCAACCTGGCGACGTCGTCGTCGGGAGAATCGTCATCATCGTCTGGGATGTACGGGCACCACACCACGCGGTGCACTCCGCCGCCCGCTCCAGTGTCCTCGCGGATTTCCACCAGCAACGTGCATCTACACCGACGCCACAACATGAAAAAATTTACAGAAATATTCACATGTATATAGATAGACAGATAGATAACACGTTTATTATATATATCGACCCCTCCTACGTAAAATATCGTATGTCGAAATTGCCAAGTTTATAGGGGAGCATATTAAAGTTTTGAATTCCCTAAAATACGCATACACGTGACTTTAGCATTTCACAATATATATTGTGGTTGTTCATCTAACCAATATCTAGGATTTTATAATACTCTCTGTGAGTAACGCGCTTTGCCGAATAAAACTCAGTCACGTTTTACGCTCATTTCAGTAAATTCAAAACTTTAAAACGCACCCCGGTAAACCTGGCAATTTTGACTTTAGATACTTTCATAGGAGGGGTCGATATTCTATTGTTCACAAGTTTCCACAGAGCAGCTTAGTTAACTCACCTCAGGCCACTATCTGTGACTTCTATCTCATGGACATAGAAATTGCCCTGTTCGTCAATACAAGCCAACACCACTTCGCTCTGGATGTGAGCAAAGGCCAAATCTTGCACCTGCACATAAGAAAATAATTCGAAAATTATCTTACAGCTCTCGCAGAACATAAAAATATATATGTACATCATTACATTAAGAAAGAAGATATCCATAATATTAACCTTAGAACTAAGTCCAAACTTATGGTACCAAGATTTCGGTAAATGAAGGTAAACAATTCTTATATAGGGAACTGTATACTTTTTACAATAAGATTCCGGAGCATATATTAAAATTATCATTTCCTACACATCTTTTCAACATTTCCACACGGCGTAATTTGCGCGTATGTGCGCTGTAGTGAATCGATTCAAACGCGCTCAAACATCGACCGCGTTGCAAGTAAGAAGCTCCACTGGAGTTTACACTTACAATTTCATGTGGTTGCTTCATTTCAAAAAACTAAATGAAATTAACAAACAAAACTAAAATTGAAACTATCTTTTATCAAAATGCGCGAACATATGCGCGTTTACGGCGCGTATAAAATACGTCGTGGGCACAGGCTCTTACAGGTGGTGTCTTATTTAGTGCGTGAAGATTTGCCAGTGAAAGAGGTTGCATGTGTATATAAATGTGGAATGGGAAGATATTGACGTATAGTTAGAAGAATACGATTTTTTAGATTTGAGACTTGTTTATTGAAGGGAGTGACTGCATAATTATGACTTATTTTATTTAATGAATGATGATATGAAATCTCTGGCCGTGTTTGCACTTAGAAAGACATTATGACATAGTAAAGAACAGTTGTTATCACAGAAGTATCTGTGTACTATCCCTGCGAAGATGCTAGTCCTAGAGAGACCGATTCTGATTGGTCAGAACACAAAATGACCCGTTCCAACGAAAACTAGTTGCATGCACACAGTAGTCGCATGTGACAGGCCACGCTCAATACGAACCTTGAACGTCCCGCCGAGACGTCACACAGGTGCGAATTTGCAGCCTTATATTATCTTTTAATGTAATTTTTTTTCTAATACCAAGTGATGGAGAGAACAAGTTGTACGCCTGGCAGTAAGCGACACGACTATCCATAACTATTGGAGTGCCAATCAGAGCTACAAATCGCAAAGTTCTGAGGGGCACTACTATAGCCCACGTCACTCTTGTGCCTGTAAGGCTCAACTCACACTGGCGCAGAGTTTTTCGCCTATAGCTTATTAATCTCTATTCTCCCATTATTAAGGTACAAATTTGTGTTATGCAAATATGGAATCGCGTGTCGTTGACGCTTGGTTGAAGTCGAGCGGTTTCGCGCGTCGCTGCGCGTTACTTGGGCGCAGTGAGACGTCAGACGCTGACCACACTGTGTTCCGGGCGCACTAATGGGATCGTCGTCACCTTTGGCGTTGGCTTAAGGCGTTGTAGTTGAACAGGACGCAACGCGGCGCTTCGTGTGAGTTGAGCCTAATTGCCTTGGTGGCTGAACGGTTACCATGCCAGACTGTCACGCAGAGGTCCCAGGTTCGATTCCCGAGACAGGAGAAATATTTGTATGGTCTACATTTATTTCTCTCATGAGTTTGGGTGTAATTTGTGGTTGTCTATATGTGTGTCCATGGTACCCGCGACACAGGATTTCCCTAGTGCGTGGCTATGTTGAGTGTGTGCATTATACTTATATAATTTCACCAGCACCCTTACCCTTCAAAACCGGAATTCAGTAATGTTCACATAACTGCTTGGCGGTAGTAATCGATAAGGTAAGCTGTACTTCCTGGATGAACTCTCTAAGAAGGGGCTCTACTGATATTAGTAAGTATAAGCTATAGAACCAACTAAAGATAAGAGAGATGTGGTTCTAAAACCATTAAGTTTTAGAACCACATCTCCTGTACAAATTACTCAACAATTTTAAGCTATTACAAACTTGAGATTATTACAAACATAGACAACACTCAAATCAGACATGTAATTTAGAGGTAAATATTAATAGAATTTGACTTACCTCCCCTTTCATGCCCTTAATGAGTGCACGTCTATCAGATCCAGGCTCTGGATTGTATACCACTCGCACCATACCACACCATGTCCCAGGGTTCATAGCATTTGGTGCTGGTAACAAAGACTTACTTTAGAGAACAAATTTTTTGTCTTAAAGATGTATGCAAAAAATTGTTAAAACAACACAGCTACATGCAAAATATGTACAAGTAGAATATGAAATTTCGGAAACAAGCTTAGATTTGCAGTAGATATTACACAAAGTTAACATTACTGCAATGACAGAATTAAGTGTTAGAACAAAAACCGATAAGCCACATTTTGACTTGTTCGTCTTTACACATGCTAAAAGGTAGTTTTTGTTTATTTTTATGAATAATTTCCAACATCATCCACCAAATCTACTTTAAAAATATGTTTGAAATGGATGGATCTGAACACAATGTGACAAATCCTTACAATAAGACTAGAAAGCATTAGAATCGACATTTATCAGTTTTTGTTCAGAAACTGCAAATTTTAAAAGCCAAAACTTTAAAATATGTCATAAGAACAGATCAGGTTTATCCAAATCCATACCCTTGATGCAGTAAGCCAAGTATTTTCCGCTAAGGTGTACAGCTAGCAATTGTCCGGAGTACAGACGCGGTTCCCAGTTGTAGTCCACCAGACTTTTAAGCTTCACCTTGGAACTGCCATGACTGTGTGTGCCAGCGTTTGTGGTTACCACTACGTCAGTGGCGTACACCTCGCCTGTCATATTGCATCCATCTTCTCCTTCAGAGAAGGATCTGTGGAAAGATTGTTTACCATTGTTAGATTTGATATCAAAGTATAATTATTATTACCGCGTTTTTGCCTGGTACAGCACGAGGTTTAAAGAGAAGAATGCTTATGGTTTAATCGTAAGAAACTTGGGTTACAAGGCTTGGCCAGAAAATAAATTATAACAAAGCAAAAAGGCCATTGTCAGCAACAGGTTATTCGAAGAATTTTCCGTCGCTTTACAATACACGCTTGCTTCTCTCCACCAACAGGATGTAGCAATAAAGCATCCTCTCAAAATTACTGTCGTCCGCACTTTATACAACAACACACCAGGGACAGAAAGGAAAAAACGAAATTCGAGAAACTGTCACTCACATAGTTTGTGTGGTCTCCGTAAGTTTCGGGAGCATCGCCGTCGGTTGCATTTCTACTCTAATCCTCCACTTTCCTCATGAATCCAAAAACAACTCCCAAATTCGCAACAACAATGTAATTAATGCAAAAACTATGCAAAAATTACAAAAGCGATCCGCTCAAAGCCGACCGACATGAATGAGAGCGTTTTGATGTTCACATCAATAATTTTAGTGAAAATTATAATAAAAAATATATTCTTTTTTGATAAACATAAAAACTAATACGTTACCAACAAAAAAGCATAGTATAATAAATGAGCTTAAAAAATGTACCAGGCACTATTAAATGATACTAAAATTGAAATTGAAGGGCAAAATTATTTTGAACATTTCGAAGTGCTAAGAAAATATCGAAACGTATCTACTTCCACATTTTGTTTTCAATGTCTTTATAATTTTCCTAAAATGATTTTTACTTTGTTCTAACGAGTTCACAAATAAAAATTACAAATAAGCAGGCAAAAAAATCAACTGCTTTCAAAAGTTACTGTTAAAAATTACCATAAATTATAGTATCCGTAAAAATGACGCCGACGATGATGACTCGACATTGGTTTGACATTGGTTCAATGAAAACAACTCAACTCACAGTTGTTGGTCAACTTTGACAAGTGACAGGGCAGTGAATTGATTTTCTGCAGAAATGGTAAAAATAATTCGAAATTATTAAATTAACAGTATTCCTTCTATGTTAGGAGTGTAATATGAGCGTAATTGTTGCAGTCGTTGACGGACAAGCTTACGTCGTTGATGTCCCGGCCGGGGGGCGATAATGTCCAGAAAGATGACGTCCCTTGGTGGATGCGCTACGCTGGACGGGGGTTGGGGACGGTTGGAAGCTTCCGTACGTATAATTTATTCCGTTACGAGACTCTAGAACTCGACCCTATTATATGGTCCATTTTTGGCATATTATAAGCTAATGCCTTGGTGATGATTACCATTATCTTATCAGTGATGACTCCAGTCTCTGGCTCCATTAACTTGGACGGGTAATTGAAATTAATGCCTTTGTTTACATAGTGCAATTGGTACCAGTTTAAGTGTAGAATTTATTTTAAATATTTTTCATACATGTATAAAATTTGTCTTTCCATATGTGTACTTAGATTTTTGAAGGATCCATCTGTCAGTCTAAATTACATTTGAACAGCATCATTTTTATAGTATTCATGTGTTTGTATTAAGCTTTGTATGTCCAGTACAGTGTAATTAAACTGATAAAAAAATGTCCAATTACCATCTTAAACGTTTACCGTCATATTGTGTTTGTTTGCTCATTATTTATCTACTTCATTATTATTTCACAGTATTATCAGCAATGCTGAAGTCTTTCTGGTCCTCTCATAGCTCATTTGCAAACAGAGATCATTACTCTTTTTAACCATTTTTTATGAATATATTTTTTTAATAATTAAAATATGAGCCCTCAAATGCTACAAATATAACAATAACATATAAATATGGATGGTTCCTGATGGGACGAACATGTCGCGCATCTGGTAGTAGGCGACACGCCTGTCTGTAACAGTTGCATTGCTGCTCAGAGTTTTCAGTCGCAAAGACCTGAGGGGCACTGCCAGTGTGCCCGTCACCCTGAGACGGATGCACAAGTTTCATTGACCAGTCCCATATGCCTGTAATTTTTCCCTTTAAAACCGGAACACAGTAATGCTCACATAATTGTTTGACAGCAGAAATAGGTAAGGTGGCTGTATTTCCCTGCAAAGGGTTCATCCTTTCACAAGGAGAATTCTAAATAACATAGCATCTTAAATAAAAGGAAGGCCATGAAATTTAACATTTAGTTTGAAATTTTGGTCAGGAAAATGAATAGCCCTTTCTCTGACTTTACCACATTCATGACAGCTGACATTATCACTTGAACAAAGGAAGAAAACAATCCTTATGATTCAGGCTTTCTATCAGTATTGTAAAATTACTGGTGTTTTTTTTCACATGTGGCATGTTTGGGGGATTATTTAAAAATCTTTGAATCCAGTTTGAAGTGTTTTTAAAATCTCAATAAAACTTTCTTTCATTGAAATTTAGCTCAGGTCGTGTAGCAAGAGGTACTTTATAAATATAACCTGGGGTTATCTTCATAACTAGATATTCATTGTGTTTTTCACATATTCACTTATGGAGGCTACTTCTAGATCTGTCAAGATGTTGTTCTTTTCCTATCCTATTTTTTAAAACACATTCTAAATACAAATCTATATTCACTCAGCCAGTACTTCTACTCATAGAGTAGAGCCTAGACTACAGTACTTAAGTTACTCTCCCTCCAGGTGGCATAGTCGTGGAAGGCTCTTTATACATATACTTTGTTATATTAAGATTATAAGCAGGTGCAGAAAAAAGATCACCTTATTGTCTCAACAGAGTTATTTATTTTGTTTCACTTAGTGGGTATTGACCTCACTTTCTGTTTATGAATTTGTTTACAGACATGAACTAAACTAAATGACATGAGGAAAATGGCAATAAAGAGCATAAATTAGAACGTAGCATTATTCAGTCTAACCTCTCGATTCAGAAGCAACGGTTCTCCAATTAGGCTCATCATCATCATATCAGCCGGAAGACGTCCACTGCTGAACATAGGTCCCCCCAAAGATTTCCAGACTAACCGATCGGACGCGACGTGAATCCATCGGTTAGTTAGTTTTCTACCCGGCCGGAAATCGCAGAGATGGCGACTAGGGAATGCAAATTCGCAATATATTTGAAATCCGGATTTCGAAAACGGATTTTGAAGCGAATCCGGGCAATCCGCTCGGAAAACTATAACAATTCAATGTATTTGCGATTTACACGAAAAAAATTCATGCTTTACTATAGTATCAATCAAATTGTAATCTAATCTTCGATAGGTAATAGGGATCCATACATAACACAATATAAGCAGTCTCTAACGAAATTATGCATACGATTTATCTGTCATAAAACATTCCAATTCTGGAATTCAATCTTATTAAAGAAGGTAGATAAAAATTAATAAATATTAAATATTTCAATTTCTTATAACAGAAAAAATACAAAAACAAAAAAATAGTTTAACAAAATCACCACTTAGTAACTGTCAAAAAAAAAATTGTTTTATCATTAAACCTGTTGAGGATTCTGTTGCATGAAATTCCAAAATTTTTTTTTATTATTTATTTATTTATTTGATTATAGACGAGCAGCTTTCGCTGATAAGTCTAAATAAGAGTGTTGAATTAATATGTTTTAGATTCAGTTCACTTTTTTAGCACAAATTCACTCTTTCGTAGCCAGTTGTCGAGCTTGTTTTTGGGCGCATTAACAGAGACAGCAGAAACAACATCTTCCGGTAGCATGTTCCAATTATGCACCATTCTGTTGCTGAATTAAATGTGTGCAGCAGGTGTTTTGAAAAGAGCACGAACTAGATTGAGATGGTGACCACATTTTTTTTTATAATACTAAGTGACGGGTTGAACTGGTCGTGTCGCCTGGTGGGAAGCGACACGCCTGTTCCTAACAGTTGCAGTGCCACTCAGACCTTTAAATCACAAAGATCTGAGGGGCATTGCCACCCCGCCCTATACCCCGAGACATAAGTTGACAAGTCTCATGTGTCTGTAATTTCACCAGCACCCTTACCCTTCCAAACCGGAACGCAGTAATGTTTACATTACTGCTTGGCGGCAGAAATAGTGGTGGCAGTACTTCCCTGGTCGAACTCTTACACAAGGAGCTCTACTGCTACTAAAATTTGATGATTGAAGTTTTCTTTAAAAAAAGTTTTGTACGTCTGGTAGATCGTACTGACACATCAGAATTTATAAGTCTCGATGACGTCACTATGAAGGCGTCTTTCTTCCAGAGTAGCAAGGCGCGTATTAACGCGCAGTCTTTCCTGATAGGATTTGCGACCAAGAGCCTGCGGCATTTCCGTTGCCTTCCTTTGAACGTTTTCAAGAAGATTTGGGTCTTTTTGGAAATAAGGGCTCCTGACTTGATATCCATATTTCAGCAGTGGCCGTATTTATTAATTAAATATTATTTATTATAATTATTAATACAAAGATCGAACACTTAGAAAAAAATCCTTCGATCCGGATCCGAACCGACGTCTTCTTGCATACCGTGCCAGACGCTATACCAAGTAAGCCACGGAACGAACCAGCGGACCTCACGAATTTTTCTATGGAGTCGAAGGATTTTTTCTGAGTCTTTCGATCTTTGTATTATAACAAACTAGTGGAATAATTTCATATAAAAATAATTTAATATCAATTCAATAAAATTTAAATACAATGAATAGCGACATCTCTAGCCGTGGCAGGTAGCTTCAAAGGTATCTAACTGAGTAATGAAATGACATAGATCTCTCATAGATGGCGCTACGGCTACAAAGTCGTCGAAAAACCAGATACAAAGATACGACCCAAGCACATAAAAATTTAGTTTACTAAAGCCTCATAGTATATTCAACGTTTGCCAAATTGCGCTATTAGTATCTTATTTGTGTTACTCAGTGATAACAGACTGATAGCATTTATTTCCTCGCTTCATAAACATTCTTTGCATCTCTTTGTAGATTATAATTATTACGCGTCGTGTTTCTATATGTAGCCTCGGAAATTTCCCTCTTATTTAAATAAATAACGCACTCACTAATAGCCGAACTAAGGAAACCCAGTGTCGCGGGTGCCATGGACACACACATAGACAACCACAAATTTCACCCAAACTCACGAGAGAAATTAATGTAGGCCATACAAATGTTTCTCCAGACCCGCGAATCGAACCTGAGAGCTCTGCGTGACAGTTAAATGGGGACCGTTCGGCCACTGAGGCAATTACAGGCACATGGGACTTGTTAACTTATGTCTCAGGGTGACGTGGGCTGTGGTAGTGCCCCTCTTTGCGATTTGTAGCTCTGATTGGCACTCCAACAGTTAAGGATAGGCGTGACGCTTACTGCCAGGCGCACAACTTGTTCGCTCTATCACTTGGTATTAGAAAAGAAATATCATCAAAAGATAATACAAGGCTGCAAATTCGCACCTATGTGACGTCTCGGCGGGACGTTCAAGGTTGTATTGAGTGTGGGCTGTCATATGCAGTGTGCATGCAACTAGCTTTCGCTATTCGGGGTCTTTTGTCGGGATACTTTTGTGGTAACAACTGTTCTGTTCATTTGCGTGGCAGACTAGTATGGTAACCGTTTGGCCACCGAGGCAATTAAATTTATGTTCTGTACCAGTATGTGTCCTCATTCTAATTGCGTCATCCAATTTTATGACGTCAGACACGTTTACTTACGTACTTGTAGAAAAACCACAAAAACTATTTCTCAATAATAATAATAATAATGTATTCTCTCCACAAACATAACAACTGAACATGAACAAAAGAAAGATAGACAAAAATAGTGTTTATATTATGTTTGCAAAAGACCTAAACTAAGCATAAGCTTGTAATATAGGATACCAGGTCTCTCACCACAGACAACTTTCTCTTTCTCTTAATACTATGATTGCAGAGGTTAAAATTAAGTTTAATATTAAGGTTATACAATAGTGAAAAAGAAAAGAAAATTTAAATGTATGAACTAACTAAACTAACAATACAGTTTGTGAACTATGTGTGGGTGTGTGTGCGTGTGTGGTGTGTGTGTTGTGTGGGTGGTCTCAAACAGACGTAATGTGAGGTGCGAAGGGAATGAATTGCCAAAAATAACAGATCAATTGTGTATTCTTTTCGCAGATACCGTTTCTTTACTTTTTAAATGTCCCAATAATAATCTTTCAGAACTAGTCGAAATTTTAATACTATTTATCTGTGGCTCTCTGTGGATCGTGACTTAGCAACAAATAATAAAAAAAAACTGAATTAAATCAATTCAAACCATACCAAAAGGAAAAAATACATTTGAAATCAGTAACAACTAAGGGCGCGTTCCCACTATGTCGTGACGACACAATACAGTCGTGCAATTTGAAGTGTCGTGGCTTGTATATTTAAATGAAGTTGTCTACGTTACGACACGATTAACTGTCGTTCATGATTTTTTGTAGTTACGACGACAGACTGTCGTGACAATGGGAAGAGCTAAAACGATAGTCGTACAACGATAAATGAAACGGCACGATAAAAATATGACGACATTTAATCGCCGCTTCAAACGATTCTGTCGTGCAAACGACAAGATGGCTGCCGTGAACCGATAAATTGTCGTCACGATCTAGTGGGAACAGGTCTAAAGTAGAAAAATGTAAACAAAAATGTAAAAACATAAACGAATGACGAATGGCACGATATTGATTGAAGAAGAGAAAGTGGAACAAGTGAAAGAGTTTGTGTATTAGGGTTCTATGTTTATGTGAGATATTGAAAGAAGAGTGAACGGAGGGAATCAGGAGAATGGTGCCTTGCATACCTTCATAGGCAGCCAGAAGGTGTCTAAAAAGGCACGATTGGTTGTGCATGGGGGGATGCTGATTCCTACCCTTATGTATGGTAGTGAATGTTGGGTTTGGCAGAAGAAGCATGAAAATAGAATTAATGCAGTAGAAATGAGAGCTTTGAGGAGTATGTCTCGAGTGACTCAGATGGATAAATTACGGAACAGTGTGATAAGAGAGCGTTGCGGCGTGGAAGAAGATAGAAGATATAGTGACAAAGATAGAGAAAGGGATGCCTAGATGGTTCGAACATGTAGAGAGAATGAATGAAAGAATGAATGAGCGGGCAAGTTGGTATGGGCCGACCAAGGAGAACTTATCATGACCAAATTGAGGCCATCCTAAATAACGGCCAGGTCAAGAGTACCCTTAACCGACGAGCGTGTATGAAAGCATTGATGCGTGTTGATGAGGCGAAATATGTGTGTCAGGACCGTAGCAAGTGGAAGAACGTTGTCTCTGCCTACCCCGATGGGAAAAAGGCGTGAAGTATATGTATGTATGTAAAAACATAAAATACCAAATTATCACAGTTTATCTATACACTATCACTATTATATAAAATGTAACGCAGAAGTAGAGTGTGCCCAGTCAGCCTATTACGCCTATGCGTTTGCTTGGCTCCTGTATTTTGTTATGGGGTCACAGTACTGACAAGATCTTTTCATTATACAAGAAAATTGTATTCGCATATTCATGATATTCGACCCAGAAATGGCTGCAAACCAATTTTTATAAAGGAACATATACTCACTTCCTTATATATATTTAATTAAAACAATAAATTTGGTAACCAAAAATATTACTAGTTTTGAATTTGTTAAAAGTGCGCCGAAATACATATTTAGTCTTACCAATACCCCGTATCGAAATATCCCACATTATAGAGCAGGTAAAATCTATAACAAATTGCCAACACACTAAAAACAACAGAAAGAAAGTCCACATATTGCAATAAAAACAAATTAAACATGCTATTTATTTATAAAATATTCATTAACTCAGTTGATGAATATTTTGAAGATGACTCTAAATAATATTGCTTCCCTTATGTAACTATTTACTTGTATTGAAATTGTATTATTAATTTTAGCTTATAAGAATTATTATCATTTGTTATTCTCTTAGAGTGGTTACTCACTGCGGCGTTTCTGAAACGCGCGATTACATCGCTACACTTTCGAAATGCACGACTGCATTGATACAAACGCGCGACTACATCGACACAAGCGCGCGATTCTATCGATGCAATCGCCTGCAATCGATTAATGGCGAAACGCTCGAAGTTGTCCGAGAATATGTCTACCTCGGGCAAACCCTGCAACTAGGCAGAGACAACTTCGAGCGTGAAATAGCTAGGAGAGTGCAGCCGGGCTGGGCAGCATTTGGGAAACTGCGTTATGTCTTCTCGTCACCACTCCCGCAGTGCCTGAAAACCAGGGTTTACAACCAATGCGTCCTACTGGTCATGACTTACGGAACCGAGACGTGGAATATGACAGTGAAACTGACTCACAAACTACAAGTCGCTCAGCGGGTTATGGAAAGGTCTATGCTGGGTATCTCGTTAAGAGACAAAGTCCGGAACGAAGTTATCCGACTATAGTAGTGGACATCGTCCAGAAATGTAGCAAGCTGAAATGGCAGTGGGCTGGCCACACTTGTCGCAGGACCGATTTGCGACGGAGTAGACGGTTTCTCGAGCGGAGACCACGTCTCGGCAAACGTAACGTAGGGCGTCCCCCTGCAAGATGAACCAACGATCTGAAGAAGATCGCGGGTAGTGGTTGGATGCGGAAAACGGGTGATCGGGCACTATGGCGTACAGTTGGGGAGGCTTATGTCCAGAAGTGGATTGCAATAGGCTGATTGATTGTTTGAATCGCCTGCAAATTCCAAATGTATACAATCGCGCGTTTGTATCGATGCAGTCGCGCGCATGCATCGCTGTCAAAACCCGCCGTGTGTAACCGCTCTTACTGGGTGCATGTAACATTTTAAATGTAACTAAGTAAAATAACTAATAAATTAAAAAAATAATTTGAAATTTACCACGAGTTTTTTCGTGACGAAAAACGTCATCGTGATGAAATCTGCACGTCGAAGGAAGTCACAACCCTCCAACAACCTGTGAAGTCTCCAAAACCCTCGCCTGGGAGGAGTCCCATCAGTGGGACATATAAATGGGTTGATATAGATTTGTATACACATTTTAAATTTGATTCCAGTGGCTATTCTCTTCGGGCTGCTCAACTGCACAGGCATATTCCTGCTGCAAGCAGGTTGCGTGATAGCCGGCATTTGGCAGATGTTCGCGGGGTTCATCGTGATGGTCTGCGAGGCGCCCTGCTGCTGTTTCTTCATAGACTACGTGCAAACGTTGTCTGATAAAGTGGAGTCACGGCCTTATTGGAATAAGGCCGCTCTTTACATTGGGTGAGTTGTAGATTAAAGAATAATTTCCTATTGCACCATAGAGTATATAACCAGAAATAGAGACGAAATAAGGCCCATCCAGCCCTGGCAACTCATCAGGTAAATGGACCTTATATCACTTTTAAATATCAACTCTCGTATGCGCTGAAATCACAAATTAGAAAACTGAAATAGCACAAACAATTGACCTGTGTGTACGTCTCCGTATATTCCAAAAATATTCTATATTTATTGTAATAAAGATAATATATATAACAATGGCGTGCTCTTCCATTCGGTGGTGTGGGGAAAACAGCAAAATAGCTAATTACAAAACAAACTGAATCAAATTTCATCGGTCATTAAATATTAAATATGTAATTTATAAATTTTCGTCCATTATAGCAAAGGTCAAGTTAAATTGGTCGTTTTGAAGTGAAACAATTGACTACACCCGTCAATTGTTTCGAATTCGGGCTGGCTCTATTTCTGGTTATATACTCGATGACCTGTGCATAGGTTTACACTTATTTAAGATATTGCACACACAAACATAGTTCTAAATAAAATAATTATTATTTATATTACCAAGTGACGGGACGAACAAGCCATGTGCCTGGTGGTAAGCGACACGCCTGTCCATGACACTTGCAGTGCCACTCAGAACTTTAAAACCTCTAAGATCGGATCGGCCACTGCGCCCGTCACACTTAGGATCGTATTCCAGAACTCTACTCAATGCTCAAGTCAGGACTTGAGTATGATTTAAAGCACTAGTAATCATACTCAAGTCCTTGCCACTAGTGTCGTATTTCCAGTGCTTGAAATCATACTCAAGTCCTGACTTGAGCATTAAGTAGAGTTCTGGAATACGACTCTGAGACATAAAATGGCAAGTCCCATGTGCCTGTAATTTCACCAGCACCCCGACATGCTCACATTACTGAGCTATGCTTATACTAACTGCCTCTGTGGCCAAACCTTGTGGTTAACGTCTCACGTCTCATGACGACCTCTGTGGTCAAGTGACGTGAACATCTCTGAGGTCCCAGGTTCAATCACCGACCGGGCCAATGTAGAAACTAACTTTTTTATATTGTGTGGGTGTTTGTGGTACAGTCATTTCCGATTACCATAATACAAGTGCTTTAACGGCCTCCGTGGCCGAACGGTTACCATGCTGGTCTGCAACGCAGAGGCCCCGGGTTCAATACCCGGGCCGTGAGAAATATTTGTGTGGCCTACATTTATTTCTCTTGTGAGTTTTGTGGTTGTCTATGTGTGTGTTTATGGCACCCGCAATACAGGGTTTTTTAAATTAAGATTTGGCTAGGATACAAGTCCTTTGAGCCATGTCTTCGTTTAATTATCGGGATCCTCAATAAATATTTTCCATTGTCGTTCTAGTATACATTAAGTTTGCACTTTATCTTAAATAACTAAGGATCGTATTCCAGAACTCTACTCAATACTCAAGTCAGGACTTGAGTTTTAACTCGAATGTTCTGAATAGCTCGGAAAGCGCCCTTCGATTCGAGAACGATTCGGTTAAGATATCGAAGAGTTCTGATTAGGGGTCCAGTTCTGAGGAGTTTCCAACAAAAAAAGAATCATCAAAATCAGTTCACAAATGGCGGAGTCATTGCGTAAAATACATACAAAAAAACCATAAGCATTCGAGTTAACAATCCTATTTTTGAAGTGGGTTAAAAAGGACAGAAAACCGATAAGTAGGTCTCTTATTGGTAGTTGAGAATTTGAAGCTTCGTTTGCACAATCTCCTGTCGTGCGTTAAAGCAGGTCACCTAAATGCGGCTGTTACATTGCTTACGTACATAAGGCACAATCCACGTATGATACTTACAACAAGCAATTGCACAGACCATGACTAAGCCTCCATTGATAACATTGTGGTAGGTATAATGAGCTCTGTTTCGAAACAATCATCTGTTGATAATAATATGAGTCTCGATTAGTCATATTATAGAAATATTTTTAACATTTTGGATGTCAGATTTGAGATTGTTTATTGTAAACTTTCTTTTTTACTCTTTATTATAGTTCCCACGCGGTCACAGTGCGGATTGCAAATTTCGCATACATCATAAACTTTTTTTAGATAATAAGGTGACGGAACGTAAATTGCAAAGATCTTAGGGGCACTACCACTGCGCCCGTCACCCTGTAATTTCACCAGCACCCTTACCCTTCTAAACCGGAACACAGTAATGCTGACATTAAATAGGTAAGGTGGCAGTACTTCCCTGGACGAACTCATTCACAAGCAGCTCCACTGCTGCTAAAACCTATCCTCATGATTAAATGAAAATAATAAAGGCTGTCCCAAAATTCACGCAAGAAGTATTTTGGTAGAAAACACAGGTTTATAATTAAAAATTATAATTGTTTTATTGATCCATGAAGTACATGGTATAGGGTTATGTGTGGTAAAGCATGTCGGGTAATGGCCGCCACGGCTTTGTTGGCACACTCTTTTCAGAAAATTTTTGGTGACCAATTTGCATAACTGTAGTTGAAACTCGTTGATACAGCGCTCAATTTCCTCCTTCAAGGCGGTGGGTGATACGATAGTGGGTTTGTTGGCATAAATCTTCGTTTTCAAAATACCCTAAAGAAATAAGTCATGATCTGGGCGGCCAATTCCGATTACCAAAACGGGAAATCACACAATCAGGAAATTACATGACGAGGAGTCTTGTTCAAACTTATTGCCATACACATTTTCCTTTGAGGTTTTTTGAAATCGAAGGTTTATGTTAACAAATCCACCACCACACACGCCTTGAAGGTGGAAATTGAGCGCTGTATCAATGTGATTCAGCCACAGTTATGTAAAACGGTCATTGAAATTATCATGAAAAGAGTGCGAATGTGGCAGCAAAGCCGTGTATTGTCGAGCAAAAATTCGACTATGCACTTCACGGATCAATAAAAAAAAATACAATTTTTAATTATAAACCTGTGCTTTCAACCAAAATTACTTTTTGCGTGAATTTCGGGACAGCCATTATTATTTTATTTTAATCGTGAGGATACCTGCACAAATCTGTAGAGCAGTTTATGATATTTGTTCAAGCCTTCTCAGTGGATATCTATTTAATTAACTATTATTATAATATTAATGAAGATAATGTACTTTAATATATTTTATTAATGAAAGGCCGCAGCTTACATTAGGTCAACGTGGTTGTGGACTATGAACCATTACACTGTTAGAGGAGATGTATGTATGTGTGATGTTACGTAGCAGTACAGTTCCTTGTGAAAAGTTCGTCCAGAGAAGTAGTGAAACCAAACATATTGCCTCAGTGGCCGAACGGCTACCGCGCAGAGGTCTCAGGTTCGATTCCCATGCCGGGAGAAATATTTGTATGGCCTACATTTATTTCTCTCGTGAGTTTGGGTGTAATTTGTGGTTGTCTATGTGTGTGTACATGGCACTCGTGACTCAGGGTTTCCCTAGTGCGGGGCTATGTTGAGTGTGTGCTTTATTATTATTTATTTATTTCTGCCGCCAAGCAGTAATCTGAGCATTACTGCGTTCCGGTTTTAAAGGGTAAGTGTGCTTGTGAAATTACAGGCACACGGGACTTGTCACTTTGTCTCGGGGTGACGGGCGCAGTGGCTGTGCCCCTTAAATATTTGCAAGCTCTGAGTGGCACTGCTATAGACAGGTGTGTCGCTTACCTCCAGACGCAGGAGTTGTTCGTCCCCTATCATAAAAAAACTTGGTATCATAAAAAAAGATGTAAAGTCGGTAGGTTAGGTACACAGTCTTTGTATGTCTATGAGATGATGTGATTTTCCAGGGTGTCCTTGCCACCGTTCTTCCTGTGCTTCCTGAGCTTCAGCACGTGGATAGGCAGCGGGCTCATCTTCGCCACCGGCATCATCTACGGCATGATGGCGCTCGGCAAGAAGTCAGTATACACTAACACTTTTTAATATCTAATGGCTGCACTTCACTTGGCTACTTGTATTCGTTATTGGGTGTTTGATGTACTTGGAAAAATATTTGACGTACAGATAAACATGTCTGCACATGGAGTTAAAATAATGATTACATCGAGTACTATACAGGTTGACAGAAAAAACCACTGATCATTTTAAAGGAGCATACTGCATAATGAAAATAAAAAATATGTGTTCGGTTTTTTTCAAATCTTAACAAATAAATAAGTTATGATCTTAAAGTTTTATGAAAAATTGTGAACAATATATTGACACCCGATGATTAGCAGACGCCGTTGCTATAGCAACAAGAACGGTGTGGTGCAGTGGGCGGAGTTAGCTCGCGAGTTCATGTGTTTGGAGTCCCGCCACAACGCAAATTTTAATTCGTTTATAGGGAGTCATATTTGGGCGACTCCGCGGCCGGTTACCTGACACCAGATTGCGCTACACGTTGCCGACAAGTGCAATACGTGTAGATTAGTTGTTTAGTTTATTTTATTGTCATATTATATGACAAGAAAATAAACTAAAAAACGTCGTGCTGGCGCCTATGCGTCTAGACAACTCGGTGTCGATCGCTCACTTTTATTCACTATTTTGAGGTAACCACACGTTAGAAATTATTGGGAAATGTTAACATCAAAACAATGGTGATTTTTTTTGTTTTATTTAACTAATGTGTTCTATTACTGAATGCACAGGGAAAAAAATGGCCAATGATTTTTTTATCACCCCAGAAATAGAGATGAAATGTCATTTAATTTGTTTGAAAGCTATTCTGCCATATCATTACTGTGACAACTGCGCTCTGATTGGCCAGCCCGAATTCGAAACAATTGACGGGTGTCGTCAATTATTTCATTTCAAATCGACCAGTTTAACTTGAGCTTTGCCCCATAGTTGGAGATATTATTTTTATTACAATAAATATAGAATATTTTTGAAATATACGGAGACGTACACACGGGTCAGTTGTTGGCGCTGTACTATTTCAGCTTTCTCATTTGAGATTTCATTGCAAACGAGAGTTTATATTGACTTATTTCGTCTCTATTTCTGGTAATACACTCGATGAATGAATACGACCATAGTGTGGACGGTTTTCTTGCGTATTTGCCTATTTGGTTCCTTTGATGTGCGTCGAGACACCGACCAGCGCACGTTAACGCGAGTTTGGTGTTTGCTGTATTTGTCGAATAGACCAACAAGGCGAATACTTTGTCACACACGCCATCTACACATGGTGATTATTTGCCAAATATATCAAATACAAATAGTCGTGTGAAGTGCTACGATTCTATTACGAAAGTTGGGTGATAGTAAAAAGTTACTAATTCAAGCTTTTTGTAAATAACGCAGCGACATGCCTTTGGATAATGCTTTTTTGAATTTTAGAACCTCTTTCGGTTTAACAGTTCACATCTTGAACTGTATCTCCTGGTGGCAATATCGTTCTATCAACGAAGTTCATAATATTCATATAAGTAAACGAGGTAAATGAAAACTGAGTGGATCGTAAATGATTATCACTAATTACTTACTAACTTTAACGGTTTGCTCTGTGGGCGCTGGATAAAGAGGTCTCGGGTTCGGTTGAAAGCAAGTAGGACAACTTCCGCTTGCTCGGCGCGTAAATGCCTACACATCTTCATTATTATTTTAGTTGTGCCTAAAGGTTGTGAACATAATTTTGAGAAAAATGAGGTATTCATCACAGTGTACGCGTGCTATATTGAAATAACCTTTGTGTAGGTACCTACTTCTTACGTAATGATATGTTTATACCAGTATCGCGGATTGATATCTTGATTATAAAATAGAAATGCTGAACAATTCTGAATTTGAGATACTTTTGTTGAAATCACCGTAAACACAACAATAAACACGTCAATTTGATTGATTTTTTGTAAACACCGATCGACCGCTTCAATTCTATGATTAATGGCACATGCGTCACCCGTGCTATGCAACGCGAGTGCGCCGCGAGATTATGCGCGCGCGTGTGTGTGTAAGGAGGATGCAGTGCGCGCGGCGGGCGTACACGTAAAACACTTACACATAAAAGTCGCGTTGGTACCGTTGTATGGAATTATCATACTTGTCTTATTATTCTATGATATTTAATTAGTGATAATCATTTACTACTAATAACCACGTATGCCTATGGGTGTGTACAGGTCCAGTGAATGCTCCGCAAATGCGCCTGATTGCTAAAGGCTCGCGAGCTGCGCACGTACAATACGTAGTGCAATCTGTTTGCGTGCCGTTCGCGCGCCATACATACTTAACATGTATTTAACTGCACGCATGCAGCACGCGTGCAGTGCTCGTGCAGCGCACATGCAGCGCGTTCGCGGCGCTTTCGTCAGATCTGTACGCACCCTTAAAATCTATAAATCATAAATAAAGAAACGGTAAATTTTTCTCAATTACGATAAAAACATCAGTTGGTGCTTAGAGGAACGATTTATATAAAGTATACGAGTATGCGATTTGGGATGCCTAAGTTATACATATATGCATGTACACAGTTATTCGCAATACGGGAAAATAAAGCGGAACATTAAAAGGTGTTTGATCTCATCGGAACTGGGTAATTACACAGTACATCAATTATCATTTATAAAGTTCATTTACGCGGTTTTGTACGTCAGCACAGAACAGTCGCTCATCATTTGCACTCCGCAAACGATAATGAGACATAATTATAATTCACATTCATAACGGACCGTTACTATTTTTTTTACTTAAAAAAAGAACTATCGAAATTTGAAGAACTCTAGATACAAAACAGTGTACTTCTAAAACTGACCCATGTATAAGCCAACTACTTGTCACTTTTCAATTCATAGAGTCCAAACACGATAGTTCTGATGTAAGTAGTTGAGCAGTTGAGTAGTCTAATATTCAGTCGATAGTCGATGGAATATTTATCAACTGCAATCACTAGCCGCTTGCGGGCAACACATTTACACAATGAACTGTCATTTTTCAAAATGACAAGAGAAATTCAAAAAAGACAGACTATACGATGCCACCAGCAAACATAGACAAAGGCTTCAAACTTCTAACTCCCCTCTTTTTGTGTCGGAGGTTAAACATAACGTCCTATCCCATACTACGCGTACCTACATTGCCATTTCACCATTGAACTAAAACTTTTCGGGGTACTGTACTGACATTGTGTGCTTGTAACTGGGCTAACCAAAGTGTGTGTGTGTGTGACTGCTTTCCCGCTGTTGTACGTGGTCCGCGGCGGTAGGGCGTCGCGGGATGACATGGCGGCCATGGCGGCTGGGGGTGTCACGCCGCCCGGCGGGGCCGCACCGCTCGACCACAGCGCCACCCTCATGGAGGACCCCGACGTCTGGCGCCCAAACTAAAGGCAACATAAATCCTTGCCCCGCTGCATGCTTTAAAACGCTTTAACACCTTAATTGGTCCTACTTACTGCACTATCTCTTTAAACTTGTTTCAAGTACATTTCTTTGTATGGGTGAACTGTGATCCGCCATTCTTTTTTTTTGTCTTGTGGCATACCAAGTTTTCATAATTTTTATGCAGACACGCATGAATTCTCAGGTTAGAGTTCTCTGCTTAACTTTCGTGGTCGTTTTTATTATTTAAGTCGGAAGTATATTGTCATGAAATGTTAAATAATATATCACGATAATATACTCGAATACATAGATAACAAAAATTGCTATGGAGATTAGGTACCGAACCCGAGAGGACCTTATTATTTGTACGCTATACTAATGCGGTCCAATAAAACAACATGAGTCGTAAAATAAAATATACAGGTTGCTAATAAATTGGGTCCGGATACTTTTAGAGCCACTTTACTTACCTCGTTGTAATGACTTTGAAGTAAGATAATCACAATAAATCTATTAGTTTTTTGTTAGTCATGTAGAAACACAGGTTGTGTGTGCACTATGGAATGTCAAGAAATTGAAGCGCGGCAATCTTTCTTATTTATTTTTTCTAACAGTTCTGCGCATTTGCTCGCGAAATGTTTTTCTTTTTTCGCAGTTTTGCACATTGCTCGTGCAATATTGTACAATTGAATATTTTCCCCATACCCTTGACATGATGATATTTGACCTCAATTATCTCAGGCCGTAGGTCGAAACTCAAAATTTGGTTTTCGTCACGATCAGTAGAATTGTATTCTTTTGGTAATTTCCCCAGGAACGGCCGACAAATTCCTCGGGAATGTGCAATTTGAGCGGATACTAAGAAAGCTCTGCTCGCTATGTGCGCTGGGTTACGACAATATTACTAAGTGTTTAATAAGTCGTCAATGTTACCTTTTGAAACCTTTTGTTAATCTTCGCGTCAGTTAAATGCATGTGTGGATAGATTATGTTTGGGAAGAATTAATTAGTTTTTTGTACGAGAAATAAAATTTTAAGAGAAAGAGAAATTTGTTCATTTTAACTTGGTCCTGACGCGAACTGCAACTTTAAAATTATACCTATCGAATTTGTTAGCACCTTATATATAATAATATGATATTATCAATTTTGTATAAAAAACATGTTGTTTTGCGTTCCGTTCTGTTCCTGTCGTTCCGGCTAATATTTTGTTTTCGATACAGCTAGATCTTTTTCAGCGAACGAGCGTATTCTTTTAAATCTTTTAATTTCTTTTTATGCTATCTGTTTTTAGAATTTAGCGTGAATATTTTTATGGCATAGATTGTTTTTAAATTTACGATCTCTTATATTTTTCATATGTAACGTAATCTGTGTGCCACGCGCAGAGGGTCGATCGAAGACATGCGGTCCTCAGCGGGCCTGGAGGCGGGCCTGGGCGCGCCGAGTGCCAAGCCGCGCGCGAACCTCGTCGCCAACGAGCAACCCGTCTCCATCACCATGCCCACCAAGCACTGACCGCTCCTGCCGCCTCGCACGCCTGCGGCATCTACTACAAGCTCCTAACTCCACGGAGTCTCTGCGCGCCTGGTACCCAAAGTGTTATTTTAACTATATACTCAGCCTTTAATGCCCTGTTTTTAACATTAAATCCTGTCAAAGCTACGTGATATCCTTTTTTATAGTGAAGTCTAACTAAGAATAACTCCATGTTATTCGAAAAAAGCAGATACTATTTTCCAATATACAGATTTTCTACCAGCTGCTTTATTCATGGTACTACTGTGTCGCGCATATTTGTGGTTTGGTATTTTTCATTAAGGATTTCTTATTTGAAACAGGGTTTATAATAATTGTACCGTTCTAGTGATGCGATCGGGCTGGAATATAGACACACAACGTACCAAACACTTCGGGTCACCTGGACTCTGCGTCTCACGCGCTAAATCCAGGTGCACCTGTGATGTTATAAAAGAGCAAAAACAGTTTTCTCGGACATTTATTGAAAATGATGAATTTATTGTAAAGTGTTTGTTCGAGATTTTTTTAATCATTTAGCATGCGTGAAAAATGCACATTCGGAGTTTGGGCTGGCTGAAACTTAAAAAAAAGTAGTGTTGCCAATTAAGTGTCCTCCAAGTGTAGTAAAGCGAGTATTGCCAACTTGAATTTTTGTAGAATGATTTTATTACAGTATCATAATCTTCGTAATGAAAATATTTGATTCATTTATAAAGTATCCCTTCAACATAAATAATGGTAGGAAAATATTTTTAGTTTTGATAAAACTTCTGAATAAACAAAAAAGTTTCAGGCCTCGATTTGAAAGTAAACTAGTTAGCGAGTATTAGGTTAACGTTCTTTAATGTAGACGAGGCTGTTAATAGTTAACGTACGTGTATGCCAATCGAAGAATCCATGGCCTGTACATACTACTATCAGTAGTACAGAATTTGGTACAGTTCAGTCACGTTGAGATTGTCATTACGTCATTGTCGTATCGCGGTGCTTCTCGCCTTATGATTGGTCACGTGATGTCGTTGCCATGCGATTGGTTAGTTTAAATTTTGAACAGAATTCTTGATCTACGTCTCCTTTTACGTCCAAATTTTTGTGTGTTTGCGAGCGAATATGAAATTTAACGGTATAGATTTTAAGGCGAAGCTACATTTGTCACGCTTCTGTATCGGGTGTCTAATAGAAGAGTGTATTGTATGACATATCAACCCATACAATTCTTGTAGTTTGTGCAAATATATAAGCCATTGATTCGCTAAGAAGTATGGTGGTGTTCTTGAAGCATCTAGATAAATATGGCTTCATCTTTTAAAGTAGATTGGTATTGGAAAAGACAACACGGCATTTAAGAAGGATTACGATAGAGACTACGCCTCTTCGGAGGGCACATTTTAGGGTTAGATAGCGAAATTTACTTGACATTGATGTAAGGTGTTTATGTTATTACCTTCCCCGTCGTAGCTATACTTTTGTGATATATTTACCTTATCAACTTTGTGAGTTTGACCAGTTAACACAGACATCGTGACTATTGAAGAGAGAGAGAGAGAGATACAAAATTGACAATTAAACAATCGTGGTACCAATTTTCATCCAATATTCTGCGTTAAATGGTCAATAAAAAAAAATGTATATGTATAATATTATCATTCTTTGCTCTACCTAAATGTAATGAAGAAAGTTAGAGATAGTCGTTGGTAACTGAACATATCACGTGCATTCCAGATTGAGCTCCAGGTTTCTGTTTCATCTTATTCTTTACGTTTGTATAAGAGGATTTGTGTCGCTCAGTTAGTCTCTGTGACGAGACTTTATGTCGCGGCTGAAGTAGTACGAGTTATCATTGAACGTCACGGCAGGCGTGGGTGTAAAAAGAATAATAACAAATTGCACTTTCAATAATAAAGTGATGAAAAACGAAAAGTAACATTACTGGGAAATGACAGAATAAATTTAATAGTATAGTTTTTATCGAGGGACTAAAACGAGCCAATATACACCCGAGGTAGTTATTATTCCGAGGGTTTATATTGGCTTTTAATCGTCAGGTGAAAACTTTATTCACTTCGATTGCGAGAAAAAATAAAAATTATTTCAATCGTTTGGCTTTCCAACAAAATCATGAGCCAAAATTCTTAAGTTTTAGCGGTATTTTTTAAACAAAACGCCTTGAATAGCGGTCGCTGTCAATCATGACGTCTTTCGAACGACGCAAGTGCTACGGCGCGAAACTACAATGATCCATACAGAAACGCATTAACGCGAGAAAATAATATGGCGCCACCGTCAATGCGGAAAAGGCACGGAACTAAAACCGAGCGTGGTCTTACAACGTAATATTTTCCTAATGAAAAGGGTCCACACACAAGCACTTTTTTTCTATTGAATTTCCGCAGCGCAGCGATCTTTGTGGAACAGTAGGTTTATTTACTTTGATGAATTATTATAATCTTAAATCATGTTAAATTATAATTATCTTTTTTTGTTTTTGTGATTATCTTAAGCGTTGTTTTAGTTGTAATTATGTATATTGAGATGTTTTGCGAAAGAACTCCACTAGTTTTGTTATGATTATAAAGATCCAACACAGAAAAATTTTCTTGGACCCGATGAGATTGGACTCAAGTACTGGCTGTTTGTGTTTTTCTAGGTCACTCGAAGTAAATTAAAAAACTAGGTACTGTTTCCTTTTTTATTTGTATTTTTTTAGATTAAATGATGCAATTTAGTCTCGCCATGTAAGGCTATATTGACGTACTTTTAAGGCATTTGAAGTGGTGAAAAGAAATTATATACGCTTCTCCAGCCAGAGATGCTAAGGCTATTGTCAAATATGTCTAAATTCTATTTTATATGAAAATAAGACGTATAACTTTTATTACAGTCAAGTTGTACCCAACTAAAAATGTTTCTCCAGTTTTTAATGATAATAAAATAAAAATGCAGTGAGTAAAAGTGCCAGTTGGTTTGTCTATTCATTTCAATTACCAATGAAATAGTTTTTTATAACAACGATTGACTAATTTAGTGGGCACTTTTTTCAATGAACTTGCTATTGAATGTCATCAGAAAAATCTTGTTGAAATTATCCCGTGTGCAGCGCGACATAACTGTGACGTAAACTGTCACCTCACTTAAACGACTCAGTTAAACGGCAGGTCTGTAGACACGTAGGTTTATTTTTTGTCATTTTCCTAAAAGTGTTACCATTTCGAAATTCGTCAATTTAAAAACAAAATGTAAAATTTGCGACCGCTTGACACGCGTTTGTTTAGTTCACTTTATTGTTGAAGGTGTGAAAAGAAAAACTTCACAAACCGTTGAAAGTCACATGAATAATTTGTCAAATATAATCGTTTCCTCTTGACGCTAGTTTTGCAAAATATCAAGAAACATTTTTACAGCAATGTCAATTTGTTGAAATATATGTTATTATTGCAACGTGTATTTATATCAATACGATTATAATTATTACAAATTAGTACTGATCAAGATAACACATATTTTAGAGATATTATTAATATTAGTGAGTTTTGAATCACTGTTTCTCATAAAAAACATATTTTTTTTTGTGTAAAACAGACAAACGCTTGAGCAATATCTCCTCTGATGTTATGTGACGATGTGGATATTGTAATCATACAAAACAATGTTACCATGTCATAAGCATATTAATAGTAGGGGCAGAGGGCCTTGCAAGAGTTCGTCCAGGGAACTACTGCCACCTTACCTAGCTTGCCATGCTGTCAACTTACGTCTTAGTCTGACCTGAGCCGTATCTGGCCCTCAAAGATGGCGATCCGTACACCGACCAAATATGGTCAAGCCATTATTGTAACTAATTGAAAGTTCGTCTTCTTATTCACAATAAAATTTTGTATTCTTCAAAACAATATGGCGTCGCAGCAATAACCAATATGGCGTCCTCGAAACGATATTTTCAATGCAATAATAATGACTCTGAAACAGAATTTAAAAAAACGAAACAGTGATTCAAAAATCTTCTTTTAACATGGACTACACATTTTTAGTGTAGCCTCTAGGCCACGTCGGTGTTATATTAAACTCAGAAAATTGTTCCAACACTTTGTATTTACCAAATAGATATCACTGTTACTGCAGATATTTTTGTAATGTATTTGTTTATAGGTATGCCTGAGTATTATTGCACTTAAGACCCTAGTCTTAGGTAATGCGTTTTCTAGACTAAAACTTTGCTCACATGAGGCAGGGTTTAATAATACAAAAAAAATGGAAAACCAGCGGGGAATGATCTATAGTTACAATTCTATGGCTCGTCGTAAGATAAATGATTTTGTACTTTAAATATCGTACAAAACTGACAGTTATTAAAATCACTATGTAATGTTGCCACGTTTATTGTAATGTGTTTAGTCCAGTTCTCAACCCACTGAAATATAATCAGTTAAAAAATAACGTTACAAGTGTTTATTATTTCATTAAAACTGGGAACTCAATAAACGTCTTCTACTATATGTTATTACCACGCACTTGTATATTAAACTGGACCGCGCACTAACTTAATAAAACGAGCTGAGTGAGAGGGTTCAAAGTAGTAATGCGTCTCTTTCTAATAGGGTGTTCATTCTTGTTTCAGGCAGCCATATTGTTTTTTACTTTTTAGTATTTACAGAAAATGTGGCCGCTTATGGATGACCAAAACTACTAATATATCATAATACAAATTGGTATACATACACAC